CCCTCCAAGTAAGTCTTGTTAATAGTTCTGAAAAAATAATTTTGCAATTTGGAATCTTTTGTCCAATTTCAGTTAAATCATTTTGCATGTTTGGTAATAGTTTTCTTGAACATCCAAATTTAATGTCATTTGACCCTAAATGTATAATAATAAAATCTGGCAGAGGAAACTTTGATGTACAAAAAGAAACAGCATCCAATAAACTTTCCCACTTCATTCCTCTTATTCCATGCCAAAAAATATTTAATTTTGTCTTTTCAAATTCAAGGTTTTCTACACTAATGTCATTTGCTCTTTGAGCAGCCCAATGTACAATTGATGAACCTAAAATCCATACTACATACTTTTTGTAGATTTTAAAAAGAAGATCTGTACAACTAGAAATATCTATAAGTTTGCTTAAAATCTTCCAGTGTAAAAGAGATGAAACATTAACTACTGGAAAAGGTATTTTTGAAACTGTTAATCCTGGAAACTTGTCTTTTAAAATTTTTTCACAATGAACAAGATGATCCTCTTGAAAAACAGATCCAAGGCAACAGCTGAACTGTTCATTGCTGTTAATGAATTTAATCAGGTTCTCAAAAGTTTCTAATTTCAAAACTTGGATAATCTGTAAGAACAGGTAATACATAAAATCAATCCAGAAATGATCAAACTGTACAGGGATATTATTGTTACGCTGATTTTCTACATGCATATCTAAAAAATGTTTCTGGCCAAAGTTAATTTTGCATGTCGGGCAGCATGTGGAGGGATACGCATACCATGGCAAATGGTCTTTTATAACGTGACGCTTAACATGTGTGAATTTTGCAGTACAAATTGGGCATGGTTTCCCTCTTTTACTAGTAGTAGACCCAGGCACTTTAGATGGAGGACTGAGTAGTTGATCATACTCGTAATCAGGAACGAAGTCCTTTTCTTCTTCCATTTTAACTAAATAAAACACTAAATATATCATAAGTTTATCCCGATACTCACAATTCCGAATATTTATATACATTTTGAGAATAAGTGTACTTATTCAATACCATATTATATATAAAATATCTAGGGCGAATCAGTAGGTTGAATTGTATGTCATAAAATATATATATTACAATAAACAATATGTTGGCAAAGAACAAGGGGCGTTTTTGCCGTTTAAATGCCGCGTGTTGAAATTTACTTTTAATTGTCGAGGAGGAAAGCTAAATAAATTTCCTTTCAGATAATATATAACAGTATATGTTTATTTTTTAAATATTATAAAAATAAATGCCTGGAAATGCCGTTATTTTGAAGTTAACGTCACCATTTTAGCGTTGACGTTATACAGGTCAATTGTAAAGGTGCTGTGATAAATCCCTACACATATCAGTATAACACAATTCGTATCGTTTTAACCAATGTAAAATAAAAAGAAAGAAACAACACAATTATAAATAGAAATTGTTTTCTTTAATAATCATGAATAAATAAACATCATAACAATCTTTGCTCGAATATGCAACACAAGACATTTATATTTATTCAAAAACCAACAAGAAATACGCTGCAGTGATATAAACGTATAAACGATCTATATCGTGAAAATAATGATACATGTACTAAGTATTTTATGTATTTCTGTCGAACATTTCTGTTTTAAATGATAATTAACATCGATAAATGTGAAAAATATCACTTCCAGAAAATAATTGTATCTAGCTTGTAGACAATCTATTCTTCGGTTGAGCTCTCCTCGCCGCTGTCAGAATCGTCGATCACGCGAGCTGCGTCCTCGAGGTGTTCTGACCAATCACGCACTCCTTGCACGGGCTTATCCTGATGTCGGGCATGCGATAGAAACCAAATCACGCTTGTTATATGTGCGCAGCAACCAACAATGCGTGCGCCGGCTTTACACTTACAGTACCATGATACCACAACGCCATCTTCGTACTTTACCCAACAGGAGTATTTTTTGGAACTGACATGACGACTCTGAATTTTGGCTCCAATAATACCATACAGGTCCTCGTTCACAAGGATTTCGTATGTACCGTCATCCTGTAAGTGTTCCTGAGTGTATGCTTTTGCCATCTTTACTTGGTACACTCCTAGCGTTAACTGGCGAATTTCGGAATCAGACAGTTTAGGGAAGTCTTGCGCAAAGCCGGCTGCGTCAATTTTTTGCCATGAATATGTCCTGTTTGACAGTCCATTACTTTCTACAAATTCCTGTAGCTCGTTTGTCCGCTTGGAGAGATGTAGCATTTTTAGGGCCATGGCCTGATCCTCTTCCGCATTGCCAGAACTTAACACGGAAGTAAATCTGTTGCACAGGGCACACACGATCCTTACGTAGTCTCCAATAAAGGGAATCTGTGTATTTGGTATGACATGATTCAGATATTTCCATCTCTTCAACCTCGCATTGGCCGATTCGACAACCCACCTTACCTATAAAAAATTGATTTGAAATTAATGATTTAAACAATGCACCCAATTTTATAATGTTAACATGAAATATTTCATAAGTACTAGAAGACAAGTACAATGTACAAATGTACATGAAATTTAAAGTAAAATAGTAAAAATACCTTAGTTATTAAGCGTGATTGGTTAGCTTCCTGTGTGGTGTCTATAGAACACAACCCATGGGGAGAGGGGGGGGGGGGGGGGTTGTGGCTTTTGCAGTTATTAAATGTCACTCACTACCATCGGCTCATACATTGTACGTGTCTGAGAGAGGAAAGAACGACAACAATGCATAGGTGATTGTAACTAAAGCAAGTAAAAGTGACCTTGAACCCCCCCCCCTTAGAAAACGCGGACACTTCCTTGGAAACGCGGATCTTTATGAAATAGGTATGAAATATCATAGGTATGAAGCTTTAAAAGTAATCGACTACCCCTACCACCACCACGGCGAAATACTTTTAACGTTTGGGGAATGAGTTTAGGATTTTTTTCTGCTTGTCAAGAAATTTCTGGATTTATTTTTTTTACCAGACAGTACCCCCCTGGAAAATATTACTGGACCCGCGCCTGTCATCTCATAAGTGAGAGCAGACCTCATGCCAGGCACGTTACACCTCACCCCCTCCTAGCTATGTGAATTATATAATGAATTTTATTAAAATGATAAATAAGTACCTTTTTTAATCTGTTACAACAAATAGTAAAGAGGCGCTTCTAGCATTTCGAGGACATTTTCAGTAGTAAAAGGTTACGTTTGGGTAAAAAAGTGGGGAGGGGGCAGGAACCCCTTGATACTACGTGCCTTTATTCGTTTTCTTTATACATGTACAATACCAGTATCATGGATGAAGAGAGACGTGCGGTAATTATAAATTGAAAATATAATGCACATCTTACTGTGGTGTTCATTTAATTACTGAACTTAATCTCTGCAAGTTAACAATCAAAGTAATGTTTTGAAGTCACTGGTCACCATTTATGATTCACGCAAGCTCAAGACAGCTCAGTATTCCGTAACGCTACAACTCCATTATTCGTAGGGAATGAAAGTAGTCCCGGAGAATTGACACTGTACGGAGTTTGAGATTCAACTATATATTTACTTATTTGACAGAACTTTTACGTCTTGTATTTCATTCAATGGGTATAGGCTCTATTTGGGAAATTCAATACATATTTTCACTAGAAAAATTCTTCCGTACGGGTATAAAATGTAAGATGTAATAGAATTTGTATCCTTTAATTAGGTATATACGTGGTTGGATTTGTGCAGGCTAAGGGTTGTCAATCAAATAGGTTTTATGTCTGTCATTCATCGCTTTTTGTATTTGAATATTGAATCATGTTTTCGATAGTAAATTTGAGAAAATAGCAATTAATAAAATACTTACGTGTAACCATCAACAGGTATGCACCATTCTTCTAATCTGCAACTCTAATCTTCGGCAGTTCATTTGAATAACGGTTTCCAAGGTAATTATATATCGAAGTAAAAGTTGAACTGTTCAAGAAATTCTGCAAATTCCGTGAACATTTTGTGTCATTTTCATAGGGAGCGCAGGTGACAACCAACACCAATTTTTGCATACAGTAAGAAGAGATAATATTGCATATGTATACCAAATATGAAATTGGTTGTTACATGCGCTGGTGTTTAAAATTACGATGAAATGTTCAATTTAATGCATATTTTCTCATTTTTCATTGAACGCACTGTTTTTGGCGCGCTATTATGACGTCATAGTAAGCACTACGTCATTTTCTAACAGATGTGAATAAAGTACATAGCCCTGTCAGTTTATTGGACAAAATTGATGCATGAAATATGGGAGATGAAAATATATGAAAATCCGCGGCCATAATATGTAAATACCGCTCCTAGTTCTTAATCATCAAGATCATAATCAGCCAAATATCTTGGTTTTCTCCTATTTCTCTCTGGCTTCTTTTTAGAATTATCTGAGACATCACAAGACAATGGTATCAGAGTATCCGACTCCACTATCTGTTGATTTCCAGATAAATCTTCACTATCATCATTAAAATCATTTTCTTGCCCATTAAAAAGTTCTGAAAGGTTGAACACATTGTCAAAATCTGTTTCTTGAACAGAGTTAAACTCAACATCATCTTTCTTAAGAATTTGATTTCTTAACCGAGATAACCATACAGGATGGTTTCGATCTTGACAAAGCTTAATTCTGTCATGATGAATAACTTCCTCTCTTTTTCTGTTTTTTATTTTATACAGAACAGGGGATTTAACTTCTGAAATGATGTAAGGGCCTTTCCAAGGGGATTTTAATTTTGGACTTTGGCCAACAGTTGTAGCTGAATTCAATTTATATACAACATCCCCTATCTGATATGTACTTTGAAAAATTTTCAAATCATAATCTCTTTTTTGTCTTTGTTGTGAACATTTGAGATTATCTCTTGCTTCTTTATGGATAAGTTCCAAATTTGATCTTAAAGCTGACATGAATTCTTAAAAACGCAACATTTTCATCTATGTACGACTTGTTTCATATCAACTCTAGCCGTATTCCGCCATATTTCTTTCAGATACCTTGTCTCATTGTAACGATGTATACCCCAATGCGCTCGTTACACTTGAATGATTTTTTGGATTGGGTATCGACTTGTGCACATCTCCGATGGTAAAGCATATGAGAACACCTGAGGTGATCAAGACATTTCAAAAACAAAATAAACAACATAATAATCATATTTTTGAATGATTATTGATTTGAATCAAAAGAAAAAATGCAAGTTTGGATGAGTACGTATTTTTACAGTGCGCCAATTTATGGAGAATAAACTTGAAATAAAAAGCAGTAAAATTTGCAAACACATTTTGAAATTATATCATTTGAATGGAACAAAACAACCAACGTCTTTGATTTGCAGGTCCTATGCAATTGATGCATATCGAGAAAACGCCTCGAACGCTGTAAACGTACCCATACCTGGTAATAAGGTTACTGCATCGGTTCGAAGATGTGCACAAGTCAAGTGAAATACACCCTGAATTCCATTTATTGAAATATGCATCACAAAAAAGAAATAAACTCCATAAAAACTCTATAGTAAACACACTGTCGTTACTCCGTACACACTAACACGACGATACACTTAGCCCGTGCTGATCAGATTTTGGTCAGGGAAAATATCACAAGTGGAAAGAGAAGTTATATGGTATTTGCGCGGCTGAAAGGGGGGGATGGATATTATAACTGATGTTCATAAGCTATAATTGTGAATTGTTTATCTACATGTAGTTCTAATATACATTCTATACAAAGTCATGTATATAGTCTGCAGTTGGTTTGCGTCGCAAAATTCATTTGTCAATTATAGCTGATTATTTTAGTACTAATCTCAAATCTAAACAAAGTAATTTGATGTACGGCTATAATTTACTTCAAATCTTAAAAGCAATTAACCAGAATACAAATTTTTATGTGTACATCTATACATTATCTA